TACACCTCCTACCTGCCCACCCTTCCTCCCACCTACTTACCTACGTACTCATCGACCCACGCAGTTTCGTAAATGGGTGGTGGGCGGGCGCTGTGGTGCGGTTTGTCCTTCTTTCCTATCAAACATGCGTCGTCCTATCTCTCCTCCTTCTTTTCTTTGTATGTTACTCTCTTGTAACACCTCTAATCTTCTGGCGCTCATATGACCTTATGCAGTTGCAAGCGCCGTAAAACCTCTACTAAAGCAAACAATATCTCTCCTCCTTTTTTTCTTTTTGTTTGTTACTGTTTATTTACACCTCTAATCTTCGGCAGTTATATGACCAATTTGTGTTGCAAGTGCCGTAAAACCTCTGCGCTTACTATATAGTCTGGACAACACCAAATGGACAACTTGATGATTTCATTACACAGAAACTAAGTGGCGAATTGTCCTGATTTTTTTTTTGCTTGTGCCTCTGAATTCCACAAAACCTAAACTGTCTCGATTTTCGTGCATATGCGACAAACACAAACATAGAGAGGTGTTTTCTATATAATCATTAGTATTTAATTACAGTCTGCGCTGCGATTTTTAAAAATTCGAACAAGAACGGTAGTTAAGTGCTAGTTTTTGTTCTTTGTTTAAGTCTATTTTTTGTAAAATCTGACTGCATGTACAGCAAGACTGAGTTGCTTTCAGTCTAGCGGTCAGTGGGTGACACTGGGTTTATTTTGATTAACTAATTGTGATATACAATGAGTAAAATTTGTTTCATATCTTCCGTCATTGAGATCGCATGCGTTTCAATTTGCTGTCGCTTTTTCATTAATCACCATGATTAGATTACGTAATTTACAAACATGTAAAACGTTCCCTTAAAACTACTTCTCCAAAGAAACTGATCGAGGCCGTTTTTTAAATTCTATAACAAATCCCGAAAAAAGATGCCCATTAGCGCTTCAAATAAAGCACTCTGTTGACCCCCGTTTTTGGGTTTGACCAAACTGTATCCCCCCTCCGAAATTCTTGGCTTAGCCCCTACAACGACACCCTGTATTTTTGTTGTTTTAGCAAAGTACCGTGCTTGCTATAAAAAGTGTGCGGTGTTGAGTTTAATGAGCAATTAATTACTAATGATTATAGAGACAACACCTCTTTATTTTTGTCGCATATCCTCGAAAATCGAGATTTTTTCGGTCTTTTAGAATTCAGAGGCGCATGCAAAAAATCAGAGAGATTCGCCTCTTAGATTCCGTGTAATGAGGTCGCCAAGTTGCCCATTTGGTGTTGTCCGGACTATAGTCGTGTCAGTAAAATCACAGATAGGAAATAAAGAGGAGGGCACGACTTTTTTCGCAGCGCACTCAGTTGTGCGTGGCAGTACATTTTTCCGCCTTATATTTGGTTGTTATGTGACCTCATCATGTTGTGAGTGCCGTTCAACTCTTTTCACAAAATTATAAAAAAGACAGCTTGAAGGCGGGTGTCTGGAAGGCATCACGGGAAGGTCCTACTTCCTTCTTTCCCTCTGTTATTTATGATTCCTTAATAAATGGTTGACATCTTGTCAATGTACTTCTATAAACATAAAACCAATAAATCTTAGGGAGACTGAAATCAGATACGCCGAACTAGGGACCCCCGTCTTGCAGAATTCATGCTCAGCTAACTGTCAACACACAGGCCATCTCAATCACTTTGGTCTTCCCAGCGTTGATGAAGATCAAAAGAATATTAATGATGAAAATTTGACGCTTTCGTGATAAAAGCAGCTTTGCAGTACTTTGAAATCATTACCAGAACAGATAAGAAGGAAATGCTGGAAACACTCTGCGGTCATGCCCCACAGCGCGTTGGATGAGGTCTCAACGCGATTTTAAAAAAAGCAAAGCAGGGTGGGAAAATAAACAACTGGCCATTTGGCGTAAAACTTTTGAAAACGAGCACAAATTTGAGACCGGCCTACTAAGTTTCTCTAAACCCCCCACCCAAAAACAAAAACAGAGGATCTGGACAGTATTGTGAGTTGTAGAGTGTTGTGCAACGTCTTTTTGCTTTTCGTCTGCATGCATTGCCTCTTTACCGTATACTTATAAT